GAACACCCAAGTTCTCATTGATTTTGAAAGCTAAATCTATTAGTTTCTCAGCATCTTCTTCTGACCCAACCATAGGGAAGTGTCCAAAATCTTGTCGAAATGAATCCAAAGCTTGAAACGCCACATGTAGCAGAGCCGGGCGATCAAATTTGGAGAAATCGCTTAGAAGAAAGTCACCTGGATCTTTTAACGCGTCTCTTAAAGGCTTGAATTGTATGACCTTGGGCTGCTTCACTTGTGTCACAATACCTCCTCTGCTGTATGCGCCAAACCCTGTAGTATCTTCTTCAAGGACAAAAGAATATGGTCGAGCACTTGCAACTTTCCTAGGTTTTCCATCATTCAACTCGGTCATTCCTTGCACTTCAGAAAATACAACAAGATCGCCATCCTGAAATTCCAGCCGCTCATCATCAACACAAGACACAAATGCAGGGCAGTCATTGCTAATCGATGCAATTATGCCTGTATGAGGCTCCTCTCCATCAACATCGACAACTGTAAATTTTGGTCCAAAGTCACAGAATACATTTCCAAAAAGGCCTCGAATTTCACATTTAATGAAAGCAATTGAAGGTTGGTGATTGTGACAATAATCATCAAACTCAATAGCCTTCTCCAAGCTGATATCAGTAAAGATGACGGCCTGCAAAGTAGAATTTGCAAAAGAAAAGTATGATCTGTTATCTAGCAAAGGAACAAAGAAAGCAAGCTTAAGTTCATTCCGATCATTAATTTTAAGGAATGAAAACAAAGAAAATATTAAAATCAGCAAGAAATGCCACTTCTAAACATGTATAGATATAAGTCCAAAATATACTTCTAAAGCATAAACTACCAGCCGAATCTATTAAGATTTTGTACCCATGCAAGTCTTTCTCCTACCGGACAAATTTAAAAATTGCAGTGGTGGTATTTCAGAAATCAATGGGGCGTAAGAACCTTGCTTTCAGTGCCAGTCTTTAACGTCATTAGGCATATAACATGATTGAGTCACAAAGAACTGAAGGAAAACATCCTTCAAAAGAATTGAACATTTAAAAGTAAAACTCAACTTTCTATAACAAACATTTAGATATCATGCGATGCATAAGATACCAAAAGAACAGATTAAGGAAATTAATTCAACACAATTATTAATAGGATCTCAACTAAAATATATCAACTTTAAAAACTGTCTTGTATTTGAATCCATTCACTTGTTAGGCATATATCATGATAGTCACTTCCATAACATGATCGAGTCGCAGAGCACTGAAGGCTCCAGCATAAAAAGAGCAAGACAATCTTCAACAACATTCAACAACAACAACAAGCTTTTATCCCACTAAGTGGGATCGGCTACATGAATCCTTTTTCTCCATTGCATCCAATTGAGTGTCATATTTTCATTTAATTATAATAAATTAAGATCATTTTTTTGCAATATGTCCTTTCTAGGATAGCCTCTGCATTTCTTAACATAAGTGGAATCTAAAACATCTACTCTCCTAACCAGATCATCAGATGGTCAACGTTTAATGTGACCAAATCATCGAAGACAACTCTCTCTAATTTTATCCGCCACTAGAGCTACACCAACTCTATCACGGATATAATCATTTCGCATTTTGTCTCTAAGTGTAAAGTCACTCATCCACATAAGCATTCTCATCTCAATAACACTTGGTTTTATTCTTCTCTTTTAAAAACCAACATTCAGCATCATAGAGCATTGCAAGTCTCAACACCATCTTATAAAATTTTCCTTTTAGTCTAAGCACTACTTTTCCCCTTCAAAAACATCTTGAACTGTAATTCCCATACTGCATAATTCATTCCTGTAAATCTGATAGCTAAGATTTCAGAAAACATTCTAAACAGAATTGTCGCTCACAAGTTGATTACCCAAAAAGTTGTTGATCGAAATTAACATAAAGCTAAAAAAAACCAAGAGATCCAAAAAAATCCAAAGAAACCCAAAGAAAACCAAGGAGAACCAAAAATTTATGTGTTGCCTTGAATTCGATCCGAGATCGAAGGAGAAAAATCTGAAGCCGAAGCCTACGATCCTTGAGTGGAAGTAATTGAAGACTCACAAGTAGTCGAAGGAAGACTTGTTGGAAGCAGTCGAAGGAGAAAGAAGCAGTCTAAATTGCTGCAGAACACAGTCGAAGAACCAGACGATAAATCAGCGAAGAAGCAGTAGAAGATGTTGCAGAAGCAGCGAAGGCTAGCGAAAACGACGATGGCGTTTGGATGAAGCCGAAGTGGACGATGCAGACTAAGTAGACGAAGCAGACCGAAACAAAGCTGTCAAAGGTCGAAGAAGTCGCGGACGAAGATGCCGCAGAACACAGGCAAAGCCACAACAAAAGCACAAGGAAAGAAACGGCGAGCGAGGTGAAGAAGATGGCCAAACTTCAGGGCACTATCAATCCTCATAACATGATACAGAGGCCGATACCAAAGCAAATATGAAAGAGGAATCCCAAGCAGAGCATACATGTTTGCAAGCAAGAATATTATTACATCTCCACGGATCCAGCAAACGGTCACAACAACATTGTAAACAAGACAAAGAACTATACCCCCACCAAAACATGATCTGAGAACGTATCAATTGCTGCTAGAATGCACTAGGTAAAGAAAGGAAAAAAAAGGCCATGATTTTGGTGAAATTCAAAGAGGGGACGAGGTTCTCTAGCAAGGGCACAGACGAACGCTCACAGCGAGCAGACGAAGACGTTGAAGACGTAGGAAGCAGGCGACAAAGATGGAATGAGCTCGAAGATGAACATGAATGATTCCCAAAGGCTAGGGAAGACGATGAAAGATTCAGACCAGAATGATTCCACTTGGCTCTAATACCATATCAATGTTTTGAGTAAATAAGTTGAGTGTCTTTTTCCTTTTCTTTCATTCCAATAAATAATAGTTTGTACAATCTCTTTTAGGTAACCTAATAAATATTCTTAATCTAAATCAGGAGATAATATGTACAATTAGAAGAAATAAATCAAAAGAGTAATTTGAAAATAATTTAAATAAGAAAACTCCTAATTATAGAAAACTCCTAATTCATCTGCCTGATTTCTGTGACTCTTGATAGATATCTCCCCTCAAATTAATGTTGACTGATCAAGAAGCATCAATTTATCAACAAGAAATTGATGACACTGTCGAGAAAAAGCCCAAGGGATCCCAAAATGACTTCCAACTTTTGTTTATAAATACCCTCATTAGATCCACAAATGACTAAAGCAAGCACGTGACCAACAACAGAAACAAAGGGTTTTAAAATAATCACGTAAGATGCAACCTAAAATTCCACATTCCTCTAAAACTTCAATGAGATTTGAAAATATCACGATAAGGATCTATTACCAACCATTGAAATGTTCGAAATAAATTAGCTAATGATCTTTCCAAAATTCAGAATACATTGTAAGGCCGAATTTATCAAAGACCATGATACCTGCTGTGAGTCAATGTAAAAATTCATGTTCCAAAAAAGAAAGCATTGAGCATGGTGCATTGTAGTAAACTTAAGTGGAGCCTTGATATTTCCTAAGTAAAAATCTGTATTAACTACATGAAATATGACATAAAGTCACACTTGGGGTGTTTGGCTATCCATTGTATTTAAGTTGAGTAGGATTTACTGAATCCGGTCCAGTGATATTAAATCAAAATTTGTGTTTGGAATTATTTAGGTTAAAACCAGTTAAATCCATAATAAATGTTTGGCATTTGTTTATAAGATTTAACAGATGAAGGAAGTCATTCTTTTAAATCCACCTCGAGTTTGGATTTAATATATCCGGGATTACAATCACGCCATAGGAATTTTTGGATTTAGCCAACTGCGGAATTTAAATGAGCTGAAATTGTGTTTGGCGGATTTTCGTTGAACCTCTACGTAAATCCTACTGTAAATAGTGTATCAAACACGACCTTAAAATAACCCCAAGACAAAAATATAATCACAAAATTACAACATAAATGATAGATGATACATGCTAATATAAAAGATAAATACAACATTTTTTATTTTAATGCGGTGTCATATTTAGTTTCATCACATTTTATTGCACATTTGGTAACACTAATATGTTTAAAAAAGACATAAATTAGACTCACATCTCCGAGATATAGAATGCACTTAACATAGATTCATAGTTTAAAAGCACTTAATACAAGATTATCCTAGCATTTTAAATTGCAATGAGGCTATGAAGCATAGACACAGATCCAATATGACACAATATGGTAACATGACTTAATTAAAAAAAAATAGGACATGACACGTTATGGACACGTTTTTATATTTAATTAATTACTAATATAAAAAATATATTTTTTCGTTTTTCTTTATTGAAAATATCACAACACAAATCTTGCAAGAATAAAATTTAACTTCATAAATTTAATTTATATTTTAAAACATCATGTTTATGAAAATTAGTTTTTAAAATTAAATATAATATATTTCAAAAGAGTTCATCTAGTTTCTAATCCAACTTATTTACTAAAATTTTAAAAATTCTATGATTACAAAAAGAAAATTACTAATGTTCGGCTTTGACGAATATTGGATGCACCTTCGATACTCAATTTTGATGAATTTTAGAGAGAGCTTCAACATGACGAGAGATGGGGAGGTGACGACTACGAGGTATAATTAAGACAATATGTATATTTATGATTTTCTAGCTTTTATGTCTCATTTTCTTGAAATAGTGTTAAGCTCGCGTTTGATACATGTTGATGTGTGTTAAAAACATGTTCGCGCCTGAAAAAAATTGAGACATACATTTTGTAGTGTCGAAGAAGTGCAAGGTGTGTTAGACAAGTATCAATGTCCGATACTTATCTAACATGGGTACGACATATTTTTGGAAGTGTTGGTGCTACATAGTAATTAGGTTCCCTCCAATTGGTTGTTGACAGTGAACATGGTCTCTCAAGGATAACATCACAAAGCTTTCACAGAAAAAAAATATTATTATTATTAAACATATAAATATATTTGCTAAGAATTTTTATCTAACATGCCCTAAATTTAACTAATTAAATGGCTATTAGATCCCTCAAGCATAACAACATAAAGATTTCATAGAAAAATTGTTATTTGTATTAAACATAAAAATATATTCACTAATTTTTTTAATCTAGTATGGTCCAAATTTAGCAAAATAAATGGCTATTAGGCCCCCCTCAAGAATAACATCACAAAGCTTTAAACATATAAATATATTTGCTAAAACTTTTTATCCAGTATGGTCTAAATTTATCAAATTAAATGGCTATTAGATGCACATGTATAAGAATATATATATATATATATATATATATATATATATATAAATTTTAAGTTTGAACATTGGCTATTATACAAGCCCCCACCCAACCTTATGTGCCTAACCACTCAATTTAACCGCACATAGGCGGATTCAAACCCGTGGCCCAAGAGACTTAGAATTGACTTTGCATAACCAAAGAGTTAATGAATTCTCTAGCCTGTTAAATATCGTTTTGCTTTGCACTTTGCACATTTAAACAAAAAAGAACACCTGAGCATTGTATTGTTCTTAGTGCCTTAAAAATATAAGTCATTTGAATCAAATTCTTTAATTTTAGGTGCTATGTAGCAAGACTTCTGTA